TTGGGAACATAGAGCAGTGGCAGGTAGGTTTTAACAAAGAGCGTGTTCAGGTGTGTAAATACAAAAGAGGGTGGGTTCATACAAGAGTTCATTCAAAGTTTGGTCTCGAGTTAATTGTATACACTATCAAATAAAATGTTTATCAAATCAGAAGGCATGCATAAGAAGCATATTGTTCTCTCATGAAACTGACATATACAATAACCTTTCTTCTGGATGGAGGTGTAGCTCAGTGTTTTGTAAAGTGCTTGCCTAGTATGTGTGAGTTCCCTGGTTTGATCCCCAGCACTGCATAAACAGACAAGTCAACAAACAGGCATGGAGAGAATCCCTCTTGGTTTGCACAAATCTTATTCAGGTGGTTTTGTTATTTATGCTTATTAATTATTACATAAACCACTTAAAACACACACAGTGTATTCCACATGATCCATATTTTATCCATGCATTTTATCCATCTATTTATCATTTTCAGTTGCTTAAGATCTGTTTAGTCACAGATCCATGGGAAATTTGATAAAAGGTTTTAAAACCTCTAAGCATAAAAATGCTAAACAAAAATTTGTATATCATTTGTAAGAATTTGAAATGGGAGTTCTAGTATTTTACTATAAAATGTGAATAATAAAACCTCAAAGTAAATAATCATGAATCCATAATTTTTAAAACCCAAGGCCTCTAATTATTATATTTCCTCAACCATGGTGTATTCTTGGATAAATCCATATGCATCACCACATTCCTGTTTGGTATTTCATGATAATGGATCAAGATTCAAGATGGTATTCCTTCCACCCCTTCCATCAGATCTCTGGTGCCCGCCATACCTGTACATTGTTAGAGGTATGCTCTATTAACCTGGCTCCTTAATACTTTCCTCCCTTAGTTCAATTCAATTAATATTGATTAAAATATCTTATAATGTTAACTAGCTCTGGAGGGTGGACAAAGGTAAAACAGAGGAGGCAAAATGAAAGAATATAAATACAAATACAGTAAGGACAATTGCTTCAAAATGATTAACTTTGGCTGCAAAGTCAACAGCCTTGATAAAAACCATTTGACACTCTGTATTAAGTGGAAGATACATACATTTTTGAAAATAATGATTTTAGTAGTTTAAAACAAAGCATGTAGACATTCTGTCTTTTCTATAATAAATATACATCAGATAATTACCAGTAGAAATAAAAAAGAATTCAAAGGTTTAATTGAAATAGAAAAGTGGTAGAATATTTAGAAACAAGGAATTTTATGAGAAAAATTACAATTATCTCTAAAAAGACATTGCACTTGAAAATACTCATTGACTTTTCCCTAATAAGTAATTATTTTACTTTTCAATCTTTCAAGCACATTAAATTATTTATTTATAAATGTACACAAAGTAGTTTTATTAATTTATATAAATTTAAATTGTAAATTATCATTGAATAAAGAAAATGTTTTTCATGAGGTTATTTTTGTGAGAAATTGAGGATTTGGGAGTTATTTAAAATACCAAAGTGATCAATTTACTGCAGACTTGATCAGGGTTATTTCTTCAAAGAGACATATTTTGAATAGCTGACACTGTTGAATAAGCTAAAGGGATAAATGTCTGATTTCAAGCAACATGAATAATGCTGTTCATCAGCAAATGTGCATGAAAGTACATAATCATATTCTTCCTCATAATCTGTCAGCTTGATGTTATCCTACCCCAGAGGATAAGAAGAGCTTATAAATCTACAGGGTTACATGACAAGAGAACACTCATCCCAGGGACTCCAGAACGAACTCTCCTTGCCATGGCTCCTGCACAGTGACAAGTGGCAGCACAAGCCATGTGGACAGACAGGTGGAAGTCTCTCCTATTGCCATGCAGAATTACCAAACTTATAAAACAGAATATATATACCCCACTATTGTAACTAGAATATATTCATCCCATCATTGTAAGAAGAACATATATATATATATATATATATATATATATATATATATCCCCGCCACTGTAACTAGACTATATGTATTTTGCCACTCTAACTAGAATATATACATCCCACCATTGTTACTAGAAACCAAATTTTCTACCAGTTTAAAGCCAACACAGATAAGCAAGTCAGTCCCAAGTGGGCTTTTGTGAATAGAGCCTCCTTAATGTTTATTGTGGACCAGATTTAATGCTCTGTTCTTAATAATTCAAATGTACACAAATGCAGAAGATAATTGCTCTCTAGTTATATTTACAATAAAATAACTAAAGTCACAATATCACATCATTACAGATTTATCCCGACTTGTAAAGAACAATAATTATAAATTTAATAGGGTAATTTTGAAGAATAAATGAATTAATAAACACCAATCACTTCCTGGAGGTCATAAATAAATATTGCTGACTACAATATTAGACAGTATATTACATGTGGCAAACATAAAGTTAATAATTTACTTGGTTAAATTTACTCAGTTAATAAATTTGTTTGATTTCATTTCATAGTATGAGAATATTTATTAAACTAAAGAAGTTCAGAGAGATTAAAAAAAACTATTGTGTAAGCACAGCACATGAATTATCTCTTATCCTAATATCAACTGTTTGAAATAGACATCAATACTTACAATGATAGGAAGATAAAATAGAAGAATAAATATTAAATGATAAAATAAACATTCATTACTCGACTACCAAAAATTATAAAAATGACCAATAATCCATAAAATATTGATTTCAGGTAAACTGAATATAAAGCTCTATACATTGGGGGCTTATGATCAATTCATTTATAGAGTTATATTTTGTTAACTTTTATATTTACCAAAATTTCCATGATTTTAATAATTACAGAACAAATGTTAACTATTTTGTAAATTCTAATACATTTTATAGCTAGTTAAATAAAAAGTGAGCCTATACATACGTATATTCAAATCTATTCCAAAGACAACACAGATATTAATTTAAAATAGAAATGCCTTCCTGATAAATCCAATTCTGAAGAAAATATTAATGAAAAGTTTACAGGTAGGACTTATAAAGGTACAGTACACATTTTTTTCTAAAATATAGGTCTATCCTTAAATTACAAAACTGCTAGCTCTCAACCAGAATTTAAAAAGAGTGTAAATTGAGATAAATACTACAGGCATGACTAATGTTGAAACAAATGTTTCCTTTCTCAATTATTAATCCCAATTCTATCTTCACTCATGAAATGGTCTAGATATTAAAATGTTATATTACAGTTCAAAAATGACTTAGAGAAGCCAAAGATTAGGTGAGATTTAATATAAAGTCAACATAAATCCCTGGCTAGCATCACTATGATAAGATAATTAGTGTAAACTCTAGTTTCTTAGATTTCTTTTTCAGGGTTTTTTTATGTTTTAATAATAATGGAACGTGACAAATGTATTCAGATTAAATTCAATAGGTAAACATTATCATATTCTTTTCCTTTGTATTGATTAGAACTCTGGGTAAATTTGAAACACGCCATTGAAACTTGGGCTAACATTAAACTGTGAGGAATCTTTATCTCAGAAAAATATATTTTGTGATGTTCTATCATCTCTACGATAATCCTCTCTGAAGTTGTGCTATAGAACTTAGCTCCAACATGAAGAACAAATGATCCAATTTAAACATAATTCTGTTCACAGTCACAGCCCAAATGATAAGTCATAAAATCTAAATATGATAAATAAATCAATAATAAATTAAGAATTATTATTTTAATTTTTATTGTTAAGCATTTTAAATTTGCATGCTAGGCATAAAAGTGGATGTAAAATTTTTCATGCACACACACTCAAACCTTTGTGGTTTCCTCTAATAATACAGTTTACCCATGATGATAGGGGAGGATTTGCTTTCTTGTCATGAAGTGGTTAACTGATGATAATTAACTTTGCATGCTACTCGACATTTTTTAAAACATGGTTTGTATTTTCTTTTTGTATTTGCTCCCATGTGTGCCACACTTAAAAAACAATATGATTGCCACTGATACATTCTGAACCTGTATGGTAGAAAATTCAGCCTTGCTTAAACTTTTCTAATGCCATAAATGATATAGACTCCTGAGAAGGACTGAGGTTGCACATAAGAGGCAAATGAGCAGGAGGTTCCTAGTCTTCAGCTGTGTGATAACTGTATCTGCTCACTGAATGCAGTGCACTTTGGTTTCATTTTTACTGTTGCTCTCATTTTATATACTACCAAAGAACAGATTCATGTTTAAAGTAGATCTCTAAAAATGATAAGAGTATAATAAGAAGCCGTAGAATTTGAGTCTAAAGACATCTAATGTTTTGAAATATGACCATGTTGATATTTCCATTTATGCAAGTGATGAAAAATAAACATATGTCTAAATGTCAGTCAATATATAGCATATGCGTGATGAACTATGTTCTATACTGAGTAAGCTGAAATAATTATTTTCCTAATTATTTCACCTTTGATGAGAAATTTAACTTCTCAAACCACTTATTATGAAAATTACTTTTATATCAGACATTTTAATCATTCATTAAAATGATAGGAGATATATCTTACCCATTGTGAGCCATTAACTTTTTCAAAACCCATACCTACTATAAGTATCAGTCAAAGATAAATATTTTGTTGTAATAAGCCTTATATATCAATCTAATTTACAAAAGTAAATGATTATTTTTGCCAAAATAGTCATGCTCTTGATTTAAGCTTTTAAAGAAAGCTTCCAATGAAACTTTTACAAAGTCTCTTAACAAAATTTAATAAAGTGTCAATCCACCTTTCTGGGTCTCTGATATTTGAAAAGTATGTTTATGAGAAAAAGATCGGTAACTTACTAGAGAAAATGATGAGCTAGATAATTTTTAAAGTGAGATTTTAAAACACAGAAGAAAATTTACCCCATTAACCTCTAAATAGCTCAGCATAGCTATAGACAATCTAAAGAAACAGGAAGATAACAAATTTGACATCATTATATAATTTTTTAATATAACAGGTTTATAAAATTTACCTTTATATTTACTCTATCAATATTTGGTGATATGTTTTCTTCTTATATGTTGCTGTGCTTGAATCCTGTAGAGATGAAAAAAGGAAAATAATATGTGAAGACTTTCAAAACTTATATACCACACACACATACACATGTTATGTAGAATATCATGTATAAATAAGATACCAAATATATTTTGAAATGAGTTACCAATTAAATAAATCTTATCTGTTATGTTATAAGTTATAAAAAGTTAAAATTGGTTAATTAATACATTTTTGAAGGGGTAAAATTTTGAAATGTTTTAACATCCAAAAATTTTTAAAGTATGGACTATTACACACACACACACAAAAAATCCATATAATTCATTTATCCTAATAGTTACATGTTAAGATTTCATAATTAGGTTTGGTTCTTTGAACCATTGTTACTTCAACTGTTTAAGGTAGAATCAATTAATCTCTTGGTCAAATCTGGAATTCTACCTGTAGTGTCATAATTGATAAAAGCACTTAAAATTGTGTCTAGCACATGGTCAATATTAAAATATAAATTACTAGTAGTGCTTTTCAATAACATTAAAATGTTTATTATCATGGTTACTAATATGTTTAGTATGTTTTATTATTTAAATAGTTCAGGTACTTTGAACCCATTAGGATATTAAGGATTGGAATTTAAATACAAGAAACAGTATGTGGCAAATGTTACTTTTACTGAGGATATAGCAGTGAATGAACAAAACATTATAGTGCCCTGATTCATGATATTTAAGGGCTGGAAAATGACATTGGTGCAGGAGAAAAACTATGCATCCAAATAAATATACATTTAAACATGTAAATACCTATGAATGGATGAAGAAATATGGACAACCATCCAAGTAGAAATGTGAAGAAAGAAGACTTTGACAACTAGGCAAAGCAAATGGGGCTACAAAAAAAAAAATTGGAGAAGGTTTATGAGTCTGGAAGCGCTAACACAAGAGCTTAAAGTTCAAGACAGACCTTTAAATTTGGAAAATGTAAAACTAGAATGTGAGAGAGGAAATCTGGAAAATGTGATATGATGTTCTGAAAAGACTGTAAGCAGAAAGAAATATATACCAATTTGATGATCTCTCTCTTTTCTTCTCTCTCCCTCTCTCTCTCTCATCCATCCACCTATACATCCATCCATCCATCCATCCATTCATCATCAGTTATATAGAGAGAAGAATAAAATATCTCAGATTTCATTACACCACACACCACTGAGATGTTTCAGGGACCCTAGGCTTCTCAGGCCATTTACACTGTCCTCTTCCAATAATGTGTCTCCTAAAATCAGAGGCAAATGCAACCTGATGGGACTGCTTTACAAGTTTAATTTCTGCATCTTCAGATTGTGCAGTGTTTTGGTTCTCATTAGGAGACAGGATCACCAGTAAAGGGTTTATAGACCATGCACAGCCAAATATGTACGTGTGGTTTGGGGTGGAGAATGATGTTTTCAATTAAGAATGTTAAAAATCAAATTTGAATATTCTACTAAATGGAATCTCATATATGAGCACAACGGGGCTTATCTATATATGGCATATATCTTCTGCTAAGGTTAACTAACAGAAGCTCTTTGGAAATAAGACAGAGATCATGTTCATTTCTGCTCTATTGCTAGCCTGAAATAAGCAACGTCATCCTTCATGCACGCATCCTAATGTACAGCGGTGACAGCAGTTGTGATACAGTCTCCCAATAAAACTATTAAAAAATCTAAGAGAGAATTAACTTATGATGCATTGTATTACATTGAAAAGGATTCTCTTTCAGTAGATGTCACCAATCAACAGCTCCATTTCTTCTGTTATATATACTTATTTAAATGTAATAGAAAAACTCAATCAAACACTTTCTGGGAAGGATTTGTAACATTCTATTTACTAAGAAACACACATTTCACTTTGACTTTAAATCACACTATCTTGTCTCTACTCCACCAATTTCTGGGTTCCCAATGTAAAGTGCAATGATTATTTTACAGGAAATCTCATTTCCACTTCTGAGTATTTGGTATAATAAAAAAGTACACTTTTAACTAGAAAAGGAATGTTATGAAATATATATGTGGTTATGTAAAATGTATTCTCACTATATAGGTCACTCTTTCAAAACTATTCATGTTACAATGAATTCCACTTCATTTCAATTCATTCTACACTTTATGTTCTTATTATATATTCACAGAACCTAAAGTCTCTGCATTATCCAGAAGTAATAAGAACATGGGAGTATAATAAAACAATATTAGGATGCTTTGTTATAACTTTCAATTCTGTTTTTAACCAAGCAGGTCACATCAAAGTAATAGTGCACATTTTTATGTTTATGGAATTAGAACCTTACAAGTAAATATGCCAATCAGAAAAATGTATTTTAATATTCTATTTGAGGTAATCTCTTGTTTCAAGGCCATATACTCCTCTTAGGAAAATTTATACAAAATAACTATTTCTCATCAGCCATTCACTCATTTAATATGTCAACCAGCCTTACTAAGACATTTCGGTTTCAGTCAGCATGTAATAACTAAATTTAAATAGAAGGAAGGGGAAATGCACCATGTGAAAAGTTGTAAGTATTTGTAATATTAAAACTGCATATATTCTTGGATATTTTAATGCTCTGTTAACTTCTAAATTAATACATTACATTGAATCAGCATAAAAATTACTAAGTAATTTATGAACAAATTAACTATAGCATTTATGGGTATAATAGCTTTTAATTATTTTCAAATACAATGCCCAAACTCTATGATATGAATTTTTGCAACTATCATTATTATTATTACCATGATTATATGCCTAATATCACAATTATTAGAAAACAAAAATAAAAAGTCCAAAGATAATATAGTACTAAAAGGATAGAAAAGAGGAGGCTGTTGGCTCAGTTCACATAACAGGTCACAGAGTAAGCTGGTCATAGTCGTCACAGTGAACTGCAGGTGTTTTGACCTTGAGGAGGTCAATCCCAAGGCTAAACTTGATGTGGGTGAGTAAAAGTCTGAGCAGAGAACTCAGTACTATTGTACTTGAACCTCGGAGCCATGGAAACTTGAGACCATTTGTTACAAAGCATAGAGATTTTGATTCTTGGAATTAGGATACTGTTGCAACATATATCTGGGGGAAAAAAGTTCTAGTAACTTAGGAGTTGGAAAGTCGGGAGACCATGGAAGAAGAAAAATGCCTGTAAGAGTAATGCTGAATACTTTGAAGCAGATTGTCTCTCAGGCTCACAGACAGAGAACTGTGTCCCAGGGACTCTACTTAATGATTTACATCCCCGCTTCTTATCTGTACCTAGACTTAATTTAGAGTTTAGACTTTCGGTGGAGGAGATTTTGATGAGATTTTTGAACTCTGAGCTGATATTGCTTCTGAAAGGTAGAAGGCAACAAATATAAATTGCCTCTCACAAGAAGTTAAGTAGTTCTGGATCAGATAGTGGTAGGTTTTACCCCTTTTGCTATGTAAGTCCTCTGTAATCACTTTCCCTGGAAAATGGGCACAAGATGACAATATGATGGGATACTCTGTGTTACGTCATTTTGCATAAGACTCCATTATAGCAGATTGATGCTCCTTGTGGATTTGCAGAAGACACTGCTGTTATGCACCGCTTACTGCCTGGGATATGGTCTAAGAAATACATTTTTAGGCACTTTTGTGCAACAAATATCATAGAGCCCACTTGCAAAAAATCCAGCTGTTATAATCTATTTCTCAATGCATATATATATATATATATATATATATATTAAAATGGCTGTTGCATCAGGGGCCATAATGAAGAAAACAACAACACAGGACTAAATCAATAGCAATCACAAAACAAATAATATGATCGTGAAGTGCAGTAAACATGAGATATATGATAATACTATAATGGCGTACTTGTTACAGTTAACTTAGTTTATAATACTGCAAGTACACTCTAAAAATACTTACAGAAAATATAGCATATTAAATGGTTAAGGTAGAAACTCAGTCATGTACTATCATTATGCACTGTACTAAACATACTTGTGTGTATTATCCTTCTGTATTACTAGCAGGGCAGTAAGTTTGTTTATAGTAGCATCATTAGAAATATTTTTGGTAGTGCAATGCACCTTTTATGGTGCTATGATGGCCCCAATGTCACTAGGTGTTATAAGTTTTTCTGCTCCATTTTAAGCATATGGGATCACCATAATATAGGTGGTTCTTCCTTTACCAAAATGTCACTATGTCATTCATGACTATATTTTGGTTAGGATCTGAGAGTTATTTCTAGAAACTAAAAGATAAAAGTAGCTAGCATCCAACAAAAAGATAAAGACTTTAGTCTTAATACTGCAAAGAACTATCTGTCAAGTTGAAATAGAGAAATCTCCTCGCCTTTAAACTCTGAGAACAAAAACAAATGCTGTTTTAACCCAGGAAGTTTGTGGCAATTTGTTACATACCAATTGATAACTACTGTATTCATTGTCAAAGTGATATAAAAGCCAGTGATCCCTAATTACTCCACTACTGAATGGACATAATTAATGTGGCATTTCATTATACTCCAAAAATTTCCATCTATTGATATTTCTTTGAAAATTACCAATTACCAATAGAAAATTACCAATTACCAATAGACCTTTTTATTTTTATTATATTCTTATCTGTGTATTTCATATTAGAAAATAGGAAAAAGTTCCCACAGACACAATTAAGGCATTTGAAACACATGGAATATTTTCAACTTACAAAATGAGATCATTATTACTTAAATGTTTTTGCAGTCTAAATACATTAACTATAAACAATCATTAATCATTTACTGTAGCACTTGAAATGTAACTGACCCTAAGTACTATAACAATAAGAGTTGTAGAAGTAAAATATGGTCATTTCACTTCCTTCTTCCAGCATTACTATGATAAAACAGAACCTTTTGACTGCCTCACATTGGACAGCTATCAGGGATACAACTCCACTACATGATATAATTAGGAGTGCAACGAATAAGTAATCCTTTGCTCCTTGATACAAGGTGCTGTTCGT